CGTTGTGGAGCACAGGCTCCGGACGCACAGGCTCAGCGGCCATGGCTCACAGGGCCAGCCGCTCCGCAGCACATGGGATCTTCCCGGACCAAGGCACGAACCCGCATCGCCTGCATCGGCGGGCAGACTCCCAACCACTGCGCCACCAGGGAAGCCCGCCATTGGGTCTTGAGGGTGGGGCCCTCATGAAGCGGACAGGTGTTCTTCAGAGGCCGCAGGGAGCTCCCTGGCAGTCCAGTGGTTAGGATTCAGCGCTTTCACTGCCGAAGGCCTGGGTTCGGTCCCCGGTGGGGGAACGGAGATCCCACAAGCTGTGTGGCGCGGCTGGGGGTGGGGCGGTCCCAGAAAAACCCCTGCCCCTTCCACCACGCAAAGACACAGTGAGAAGACGGCCACCGGCCACCCGTAAGAGGACCCTCCCCCGTCGGAGCCGGCACCCTGACCTCAGACTTCCAGGCTCCACAACCGTGAGAAATAAACTTCCCTTGTTTATAAGCTACCCTTCAGCTCTCGACGTGACTGGCCAGGGTGTCGGGCACTCTTCAGGGGGAGGGGAGGCTCCTGTGCAGCTGCCTGGACTGGGGGCAGGGCCGCCGCCCCTCAGAGTGGCCTCAAGGCCACACTGTCCCCCTCAGACACCCTTGCAGGCTAGGAGTCAGCTCAAGGCCCATCACACATCCTCTGCCACAGGTGAGGGTGGGCACAGCTGTGAACGGAGGCGGAGGAATGGGGGATCCCATCGCTCTCCCGTGCAGCACACACCCCCGCCTCCCCACAAGTGGCTAGTGCCGTGGAGCCCCCGAGATGGCCCACCCAGGCCCCACCCCACTGGAAGCCATCAGAATCCACACCCCAGTCAGAGTTTTTATTGGGTACTGCCCCTGCAGCCCATCCATCCCTCCCCACAGGTCCCCTCGGCGTGCCCCCAGAGGGGAAGCCCTATGGGGGGTGTGCAAGAGGAACTCCACCCATGGGGCACTTGGGACAGACCCGCCGGCCAGCAAGCAGAGAGGATGGGCTCTCCCTGGCTCTGAAGTGGCCCTGCCCCCGGCTCCGCTCGTCCACGTCTCCTCCCGTGAGCTCCACAGCAGCCGCTCGGCCTCTGTCAGAGCGTGGGCCCCCGGCCCGGGCTGTCACCCCGGCCAATGCTGGAGCCCTCCACGGCCACATCGGGTCTGCTCCTGCCCTTCTGGAGTGTGTAGGCGGATGGCCCCAGGCGCAGGATCTTCCCACTGCCCAGGCACTCACCCCCTTTGTAGAACACAGCGAACTGCAGAGGAGAGAGGCCGTGTCACCTGCAGTGCGACCCGGCATCCGGGTGCCCACAGTGCAGCCAGGAGCCCGGACCTGGGGCTGGGGAGGGGCAATGCTCTGCCTCTCCCTCTTTTGTCCTTGTCCCCGGGGCCCAAACCAGAGGCGGGCCAGGGCAGGGCAGGGCAGCCGGCACTCCCACTAGCCGTGCGAGAGCCAGGCCTCACGGTTTCAGGGCTGCCTGCGCACCCACCCTTGCAGGCTGTGTGAGCTGAGCAACGCAGTCCCTCTGCCCCTCAGCTTCCCCTGGAGACCAGCTGCTCTGGTCGGGAGGAAATGCCGTCCTTCCAGAGCACGAAGCCTGCTCCTCCGTGCAGCCAAGCAGCTGCTGAGGAGGGCCGGGTTCCGGGGCAAAAGCAGGTGCAGACTTGGGGCTGAGACCCCAACCCGCCTGCCAGTCGGTGTACCCCCAACTCACCTGTCCCAGGGCGAGAGCCCGCACAGCCTTCACGGCCGTCACCCACACAGTGCCGTCTTGATTGAGGGTCAGCACGCAGGGCACTGGGGGAAGAGAAGGACCCTTGGAGGGGGTGCTGGCCTTGCCACATGCGCTCAGCCCCAGGCCTTGGGCCCCCGGGGAGGAAGGAGCAGGCAGCGAGGACAAAGGAAACTCGGGGCAACAGCCAGAGGGGCTCAGCGCTGCCCGCCCGGGCCCCGGGGCGGCACACACACTACCTGCCGGCCGGCCTGCCAGCGGGACCCTCAGTCCCACCCGCCCGGGGAAACCTGCCCTCTTCCAGAGACCGACCCTGTGTCACGGACAAAGGAGGCTAAGCTGGCCTCAGCGCCCCTCAGGCTGTCTCTGCGTAGGCAGAGGGCAAGGAGGCCTACACCTTATACAATCTGAACAGTGGGGGCCCGGGCCCAGGCCCAGGTCGAATCACCGGTCCTAACTCTGGCCTCACCCAGGGATCCCCGCTCAGTCACCTAGCGCCATCTGGTGGCGGAACCGGAAGTGGCACTCCATCATCTTGTCGCGGACCAGGGCTGCGGGCGGCTCCTCAGCCACCCAGTGCACGCGGCCGGTCCGCAGCAGGTCCCTGTACAGGGCCGGGTGGTCTCTCCGGGGGGCCTGCGGAGCGGAGCGCGAGGACGTGACACCCTGGAGCCCTCAGTGGAGGGTCCTGCCCCAAAGCCCCCTCTCTGCACTTCATTAATAATGATCATAACAGTAAACACTCACTAAAATCCACGCTGACACGTGGAAATTCATGCGCTTATCCCTCGAGCCTTTCTACCCCACTTTGAAGATAAGGAAACTGAGGCACGAGAGGGAAAGTCACCCGTCATGGTCACACTCAGCAAATAGCAGGGGAGCATGCGATCCAACCCCATGACCTCTCCTCCTGGAAGTTCACCCTGCCCCCACCACAACCCGGCGTCCCAGTGCCAGAGGCACACGGGGCAGCCACGTCGCCACAGGGATCCCACCAAGCCCCACGTGGCTGGGGACAGGCCTCCTAGGCCTCCATGCACCTGGCCTCCTAGGACTTAGCAGGCCTCCCCTGAGGCAGGACCAAGGGCATCAAGTCTGGAGCCCTTGGGCTCTAAGTAGATAAGGAGACCCACACAGGGGACAAGTGTCAGTGAATGTCCTTTCTCAAAAGAGACAGCTAAACTTTACACTAAAGTCCCTTTAACTCCTGCTGGACCAGAATCACAGTCCAGGCCCTTGCGCCCAGGGCTCTTCTGGGCAGTGGTGTCCCGGAGGCCTGTTGGCACCTCTGCTCGCATCTAAGGGAGGGTCCCCCAGCTCTGGGACAGAGCGCGCTCAGAGCCGGGATGCTCAGCCTTGGCACTGCTGAGATGTGGGGCCGGATCACTGTGGAGGAGACGGGGCTCCCTGGCTTCACCCCCTGGACGCCAGCAGCACCCGCTCCCCTCCTCCCTCCCCCACGCTGTGACGCTGAAAACGTCCCCAGGCCCTGCCAGATGTCCCAGGGAAGGGAAGAGGGCACACAGGCCCACTTTGTGAAGTCCTGCTCTACAGCCTGGGGACACAGTCCCGGGTCCCAGCGGCCCAGAGCCCCGCCGCGGCAGAAGGCCTAGGTCGGTCCCAGCTCTACACCCTATCTGTTCAACAGTGAATTGCTGGAGGCCTCCGTGTGCAGGCCCTGTCCCAGGCACTGAGCCACCCCCGCTCCAAGGGACCTTCCCACGTTACTTAATCTTTGAGTCTTGTAAAATCGGAGGAATACGTCTATTTACAGGGACCGATGTGATGATTAATAATGTGACCAGCATACAGTAAAAGCCTAGTAAGTACCTTAAACAAAACCCTTCTGGTACCTAGGGCTAGTCCCGGGAGGATGCAGAGGAAAGGCAAGGATGCTCCCGACCGCAGCTGCCCTGCAGGCCCCCAACCCTGCCTGGCTCAGCACCGTGGGCTCTGCCGCAACCAGGCCTCCGTCACCTCACCCGCCCGACTCACCACGAGCACGTCGCCCCTGGCGCCATCCTTCGCCACCACATACCAGGGCTCTCGTAAGCCGCCGATGCTGGCTCTCTGGCCCCAAGTATACAGGAACCAACCTGTGGAAACAGTCTCTCGGTGAGGTGGGAGGGGCCCCGTCTCAAACGTCCCACCCCTCGCGACGGGGAGGAGGCGCAGGAGGCTCCCTCTGCGGACCACCCGGGCGGCCTGGCTTAGGCTGTACCTCCCACCCAGCGAGGAGCCGTTCCAGCTGTGCGGCCCCCTGACCCACCAGGCGCAGGGACCGCTCCTTTAGAACGTGAGCCAAGTGCCCCGCCTGAAGCCACGAGCCCCTCTTGCCGAGCCCCCGTGTACTAACCGCCTCGGGGCCAGGACATCAGGCTGCCCCGGTTTCTCTGCACCCTCACCCCCACCATAAATACCACAAGGCCAGCTGGCTAGGCCACGCCTTCCCCAGCCCCCAGCCCCACAGGGGAACCGGCGCCGAGCTCAGCACTCCACTTCTGCAAGCCAGGCAACGGAGCTGGGCTCCCCCGCGTGCCCTGGCAGCCTCCTGCCGGGACAGGCTGCAAGCACCCTGCAAGTTGTCCCCAGCAGGGCCGGCACATCCTCCCTCAGGAACACTCAGCTCTCTAGGAGCCCGTGACGTCTAAGGCCCGCTCCCTCCAACAGCACCAGGAAGGGGAAGTCGTCCGGCCCAAACCGAGGTGAGGGTCTCCAAGGAACAAGCCCCTTGGGAGTGTCCATGTCTAAGCCCCAGCCCTCGTCCTTCCGGCAGGTCAGACCCACGCTGGACCAAGTCTCGTCTGTCATCAGGCCCCCAAGGGCACAGCCCCACCGTTGACCAAGCCCGCCTCTGTCCTCCCACCTGGGCTGTGAACTCTCGCGCCTGACCCGTCCTCCCGACACCAGCTCAGGGCAGGCTCAGGGTGCCCCGACCCCCAGCAGCGTCTGCGAATGAGGGAGCAGCCCCTGGGGTGCAGCACTCCGACCAGGAGGGCCACCTTCTGGTCCCAACTCTTCACGGCGATCTAAATCATGAAACTCGTGCTCTGAAGTCAACCTAACTCCTTCCCTCCAGTGGAGTTTTTCTGTAGTCTGGTATTCTCTAAATGTAATGAAAAAATAAGTCTATTCATGGAGACTTAATACATAACTCAGAGAGTGAGGCTTCTGAACCAGACGGCATCCTCTGTTACCGGCTGCGATGCTGCGATGCTGAGATGCTTAAAAGGAGCCCACGGAGCCCACGTCTCAAATCGCAAACACCGGGTCAGAGCCACTCCCACCTTCCCTGGCGCCACCCACCCCCTGCCTGCGGGACTGGAATCATCTCCTCTAAACCCCAAGAGCTCAGACCTGCCCCACGCCTCAAGTTGCTCAGGATGAAAAGCAGCCCAGGGTTGCATCTCACCTTTATGCGTTCCCAGAACTTTATTGTCTTCTATAGAAATAAATTTACCAGGTCGAGGCTGTAAATACTGGAAAACAAATGCTTCATTACTAACAGATCCAGGTCCAGAGCAGAAACGTGGCTCCATCCTTTTGCATCAAAAACCACTCACCTGAAGGATGAAATTTTCAAAATTTCTTTTACCAACAAAACAGATGCCCATGCTCTGAAATGAAAGGAAGGCCGACTGTGAGACGCACGGCCGGGTGGGGTCCTGCACTCCACCTGGAGAGCCTGGGCAGGGGCGGGGGGGCACATAGGGCCTCTTGGGGCCTCACCTGCCCCAAGCCACCCCACCCCCGGACCAGGGGCCTGGCTTCCCTTCTCCAGCACCACACACACCAGTCACAGCCACAAACAGATCTCAGGGGCTTACTTCAGGCCCCAGACATGGACCTTGGCAGCTAAGTAGGCGGTGCCACCTCCACACCCAGCAGGGTCTGGCCCCGCACTGCAGACCCTCAGACCAGCCACCCAGGAAAGAAAACTAAAGCTGCTTAAGCCCTCAGGCCACTGTCGGTGAGTCTCGGGGGAGAGACAGGGACCAGAGCAGAAGCAGGAAGTACAAGCCAGGCCACGAGGGGAAGCATTGCGGGAGGGTCCGAGGAAGGAGTCTTTTCTCCAGGTGACGTTTCTAGCACGCGGGAAGGCCTGGCGGGAACAGGCTCGCCGTCCCGCACTCATGGTTCGGCTTCCTCGCTCACGCGCTGGCCTGTGTCTCCCTAGAACACGGGTCCTAGGAGGGCGGCTCGCTCAGCTCTTACCGGTCACGCCCAGAAACCGAACAGGTAGAGACATGAGTAGAGATGCTACGGGTGGAGGGATGGGCACAGGGCTGGCTTCCCTGGGGACAGCAACTTGCTGACAAAAGCACAGCTATGCCCGTCCCCAGGACAGACGTGAAGCAGCAGCTGCAGCTAAGGCCGCCTCAACCCGAAACAGCCTGGTTAGACTGGCCACCCCAGGGTCTGCCGAGCCCGCTGGGACCCCTCCCACATTGCACCCCACCCTCTAGCACCAAGCGCCCACCACACTGGCTTCACCTCAACTCCACCACTGCGCCAGGCTCGGGGCCTTTGCACAGGCTCTTCCCCGACCATCTATGTGACACTAAATCCTATTCACCCTGAGGCCTGAGGACAAACAGACTTTCCTTGGAGGCCTTTCCTGGCGTGTCTCTGCCCCCGAATCTAGATCAGAGCCTGTGGCATTTTCTCTCACCAGACCCTACACCTTCTCTCAGGGACACCTTCCGAGTTTACAACGGTAGGTTTGTCTGTCTGCCCCCTTGACATAAGCTCCCTGAAGGCAGGGATGGAACTGTGCTCTTCACCGTGTCCTCAGAGGCCAGTGGTGCAGTGCCTGGCGCAAAGAAGACACCTGACGAGGCCGTGCTGACGCGTGGACGGAAACAGAGATGTGTGTGCCGAGGGGGTCTCAGGGCCCGGTCCTCACCGTCCTGCTCTCACCGGGCAGCTGAGCCAAGAGCACCCCAGCCAGCCACCTAGCTGCCAGGAGAGCTGCCACCCCCGGGGGGCCGAGGCACGGCCGGGAGGGAGAGGTCCCTCCTCTGCTGCTTTCTGAAGGACCCAGCCCCTTCCACTGTGTGCACGACGGGCTCCTCACTCGATGCCAGATCCCAGGCAGGGGAGGTGGTGCAGGACCCCAGGCTGGGAGCACGCACACCCCTCAATCCTACCTCTTTTTTCTGAAGCACATGATGAAGTCTATTCTCAGCAGCTATTTTCTTTACAAAATCTTTTGTTAATCCCCCCAGGGGGAAGAGCGTTCTCCTCAGGGCATCCTGGGAAACCTGGCTGAGAAAGAAGGTCTGGTCTTTAAAGCTGTCAGCTGCTTGGAGAAGTTTTACCACTGCCAAGAGTAAAGAACAAAAGACGTTGCAGGAATAAAAATAATCACACTTTGCTTTTAATAATGTCCTTCTGTTTACTTTGTAGATTACCCCTGGTCTGGCAGAAACAAAGATCAATACTCAGCAGAAGACTTCCAGAACAGAGAACCGCGTGGTTCAGGTAAGAAACATTCTCACCCCTAATTGATCTGCTATTGAAAAGAGTATGCAGAGGGTAGAGTTTATGTGATAAGGACATTTATTCCAGTTCGTATGTTAGACTATATCTGCAAGGATTAGACATCACATGACAAAAATGTTATGAAGTGTTAAGAAAAAAACAAACTCAGCCACATCGGGGAAAACTGGACGAGACAATGTACAAAAATCCTGCCGAAACGGTGTCAGCTGTGCTGTTTCCTAATAGCCACAGGATGTGTTTGCACCGTGGCTGCTCTCAGGGACCCTGCTCACCTCCCAGGTCCCACAGTGGACGCCAACCACGCCCCCCAGCAGCACCCGGTTTCTAAACGTACCCCCACTTGGTCACAGGGGCTTTTTCATGGTTCGAGCTGACATCCGTCAGCTGCCCCTCTGCAGTTTCTCTAATGTTCTATTCACTGTAAACACCCGTTCCCGGCTGGACAGCGACAGTGCAGAGCTGTGACTGACCCTGGCCACAGGATGCGGTTCAGGAAACAAGGCCCGCCTCCATCTCCGGGTCCCTCGGTCCTGCCTGGTGTGTTACAGACCTTCCATGACCGCAAACACTGGGTCCCCCACTCTGCAGCTCAATGACCAACGGAGGAAACTGAACGTGACACCAGTGTTCCGGATTCCTTCCACGTGACTCACATCCAGGGCTAAGCAAAGCCTCGGCAAGTCACACCCACAGCTCACACCCGTGCCAAGGGTACAAACAGCCCAAGTGCAGCGTGCAGCTCAGCCCAGTCACATGTGTAACATGCTCTCTGTGTAGCTAATGTTTTCCACCCGTGACCTCAAATTTGATTCTCACTCTAGCCCTATGATAGAATTATCCCCATTTTCAGATGAGGAAACTGAGGCTCAGATAATTAAAGTGACTGCCCACAATGGTGCAGGGAGAGAAGCACAGAGCTGGAAACTGAGCTCAATAGCCTGGTTTCTATTCCAGCACTTTTTATGTACAAAACAACAAAATCAAGTGAAAAGTGAAAAACCGAGTTCAGTCAACCAGTCATCAGACTCATGACTGATGGCAGACTCATTTGCCAAAGGTTCTTTTTTGTTTCAAAACTAAACTTAAACAGTCTAAGTGCATATAAAAGCCTCAGAATACTGGGAGCAATATGCAATTTCTCAAAGTTCTGGGTTATTTTAAAACAAACTCAAAATCTATGATTTTTAAGAAAGCAAGCAGGAACCCTAAACCACGGAAAGGGATGCCTGCTAGGCGATGGTCTGCCTGTGCCTGGAGCCTCATTCACACCTTCGCTCCTCCGGGTCGGCCGTGGTGCCACCTGCCACGGGGACGTGTGAGGACATCTACCCTGGCCCAGGGCCAGGGGTCAGGAGCGCAGGCTGGACTCCGCTGCCCCTGTGCGCTCTCCCCAGGGACCCAGGCCAGGAGGCTCAAGACCAGGTCTCCAGGGCAACTGAGTCAGAGCAGAATAAAAATCTCTAGGTGCCTAAAACGCACACAGAGAACAAAGACACTGTGGTATTATTAAAATAGCTACACAGAACAAAGCACACGCCAATGTAGTCAGAGGTCTGAGTGCCTTCGGCCTGTCAAAAAGGCCCAGAAAGCTCTGTAAGGCGCCACATTTTCTAGGAGGTAAGCGGGGATGGCTATGTGACATGGAAACAAATCCTTCATCTACTCAGGCCCCTTAGACCTACGTTCACTGGGCAAATTCCACCATGGAGTCCCCAGGCGGCAGGGCTGGGCAGTCAAAGCCGTGTCCTCCTGATGTGGAGGGTTTCCTGGTGAGGGTTGCCCAGGAGTGTGAACGCAGCACCGGGGAGGGAAGCGGTCACCTCGCCCCACACATCAGCCCCTGACCACACACACACAGACACACACACAGACACAGACACACACACACACACACACACAGACACACACACACACACACACACACACGCCCCAACAGGGAACACAGAGCAAGATGCCTTCCCAACATCAGGTAGGCCGTGTCCTTGTCTGGGCCCTGCCAGTAAGGTTATCTCTGGCCTTGGCTGCTGTGAGAGGGGGAAGGAGGGAGAGAGAAGGAAAACAGGGTGGATCAAGCCGGATGACACGGAGGACGGCATAACGACCAGGGACGGCGGAGCTGAACAGACCCAGCTGGGATCCAGCCCCCCAACCCGAGGCACCCCAGTTGGCGAGTGCAGCCAAGCTTCAGTTTCCTCATCTGAGAAACAGAAATAGAGAACCCGCATGCTGGCACTGCCAAGAGGGGCACGGGGAGGGAGGTGGTGGGTGTGAGGCAGCCAGGGCAGGCCAGACACGGGGAAATGCCAACTCCCCCGTGGGCCTGCAGCAGTGGAAACTGCCGGCAGAAACATGGCTCCGAGCCCCATCTTGTTTTTCACTTAATAATGATGCAAATTCCTCTGTTCTACATGCAGATGTACACCAGGACAAGCCAGCAGCTTTCCAGGTGACTGCCTGGCATTTTCTAGGCAGGTGGAACTTTGCTCCCTTTGACACTGCTAAGCTAATTTATATATGTAATCTTCGTAAGCACAGTTACAAGCCTGGCTGCCAGGCCTGTGCCATGTCAGGTCCCAGCACTCATGTCACACTAAAGTACACCTCAATCTCAAGTCCTCAAAAACTCGAGGGTAAGAATCAGGGCCTGTTACGCTCCAATTATTATTGTCGTGCGTCTCCTCCCAGAACTGGGTTATGAATTACGGCTTCAGTTTCCCAGCAGTCCTGGCCCGGGCGCCCCGCCTGAGCCTCCTCCTGGTACCAATCACAGGCCCTTGGGGAAAACGACCCTCTCAGTAACTGTCCTTTTTCGAAGAGGAAACCAAAACCAACTAGCTAGTTTGGAACACACGGAGAGAAGTCGTGCAGGTGTGCTCAAACAACTCACTGTCATTCTTCAAAATATTTTACTTCATTCACAAATAATTAAGCTCTGGCCCAGGCACTTTTACTCACCATTTCTAATTTCAAATCGATTTCTGAAAAGCCCTTCTGGCCTCCTAACGTGCTTCTGCTGAAAGACCTCTTCATCTTCCAGGGACGTTCTTGCATAGTGACCCGTAGCAACTGCATCTGCTCCTGGGAGGTTTTTAAAAACACGAAGATCAGATTTTATTTATTTTTATTTTAAAAATTTTTTTAAATTTTATAGTACAGATGTCTATCCTGTCAAATACTTTAATACAATTGACATTCTGTTTTTTTAATTTTTTGGCTGCGTTGGGTCTTCGTTGCTGCGCACGGGCTTTCTCTAGTAGTGGCGATCAGGGGCTACTCTTCGCTGAGGAGCATGGGCTTCTCATTGTCGTGGCTTCTCTTGTTGTGGAGCACGGGCTCTAGGCACGCCGGGCTTCAGTAGCTGTGGCATGCAGGCTCAGCAGTTGTGGCTCACAGGCTCTAGAGTGCAGGCTCAACGGGCTTAGTTGCTCCGCGGCATGTGGGATCTTCCCGGACCAGGGATCGAACCTGTGTCCCCTGCATTGGCAGGCGGATTCTTAAACACTGCGCCACCAGGGAAATCTCCAGAGATTTTTTAATTTATTTTTTTATATAGGAGGTTCTTTTTAGTTATCTGTTTTATACATATTAGTGTATATATGTCAAGCCCAATCTCCCAATTCATCCCACCACCACTACCCCCTGCCTCTTTCTCCCCTTGATGTCCATACGTTTGTTCTCTACATCTGTGTCTCTATTTCTGTCTTGCAAACCAGTTCATCTGTACCATTTTTCGAGATTCCACATATACGCGTTAACATACAATATTTGTTTTTCTCTTTCTGACTTACTTCACTCTGTATGACAGCCTCTAGGTCCATCCATGCCTCTACAAATGACCCAATTTCATTCCTTTTTATGGCTGAGTAATATTCCATTGTATATATGTACCATATCTTCTTTATCCATTTGTCTGTTGATGGGCATTTAGGTTGCTTCCATGACCTGGCTATTGTAAACAGTGCTGCAATGAACATTGGGGTGCATGTGTCTTTTTGAATTATGGTTTTCTCTGGGTATATGCCCAGTAGTGGGATTGCTGGGTCATATGGTAATTATATTTTTTGTTTTTTAAGGAACCTCCATACTGTTCTCCACAGTGGCTGTATCAATTTACATTCCCACCGACAGTGCAAGAGGGTTCCCTTTTCTGCACACCCTCTCTAGCATTTGTTGTTTCTAGATTTTCTGATGATACCCATTCAAACCAGTGTGAGATGATAACCTCATTGAAGTTTTGATTTGCATTTCCCTAATAATTAGTGATGCTGAACAGCTTTTCATGTGCTTCTTTGGACAAATGTCTATTTAGGTCTTCTGCCCATTTTTTGACTGGGTTGTTTGTATTTTTAATATTGAGCTGCATGAGCTGTTTATATATTTTGGAGATTAATCCTCTGTCCGTCGATTCGTTCGCAAATATTTTCTCCCATTCTGAGGGTTCTCTTTTTGTCTTGTTTATAGTTTCCTTTGCAGTGCAAAAGCTTTTAAGTTTCATTAGGTCCCATTTGTTTATTTTTGTTTCTTTTCCATTACTCTAGGAGGTGGGTCAAAAAAGACCTTGCTGTGATTTACGTCATATTGTGTTCTTCCTATGTTCTCCTCTAAGAGTTTTATAGTGTACGGTCTTACATTTAGATCTTTAATCCATTTTATTTCTGTCTGTGGTGTTAGGCAGTGTTCTAATTTCATTCTTTTACATGGAGCTGTCCAGTTTTCCCAGCACCACTTATTAAAGAGACTGTCTTTTCTCCATTGTATACCCTTGCCTTCTTTGTCATAGATTAGTTGACCACAGGTGTGTGGCTTTATCTCTGGGGTTTCTATCCTGTTCCATTGATCTATATTTCTGTTTTTGTGCCAGTACCATATTGCCTTGATTACTGTAGCTTTGTAGTATAGTCTGAAGTCAGGGAGCCTGATTCCTCCAGCTCCTTTTTTTCCCCTCAAGATTGCTTTGGCTATTTGAGGTCTTTTGTGTCTCCACACAAATTTTAAGATTTTCTTGTTCTAATTCTGTAAAAAATGCCATTGGTAATTTGATAGGGATTGCACTGAATACACTGCGCCACCAGGGAAATCTCCAGAGATTTTTTAATTTATTTTTTTATATAGGAGGTTCTTTTTAGTTATCTGTTTTATACATATTAGTGTATATATGTCAAGCCCAATCTCCCAATTCATCCCACCACCACTACCCCCTGCCTCTTTCTCCCCTTGATGTCCATACGTTTGTTCTCTACATCTGTGTCTCTATTTCTGTCTTGCAAACCAGTTCATCTGTACCATTTTTCGAGATTCCACATATACGCGTTAACATACAATATTTGTTTTTCTCTTTCTGACTTACTTCACTCTGTATGACAGCCTCTAGGTCCATCCATGCCTCTACAAATGACCCAATTTCATTCCTTTTTATGGCTGAGTAATATTCCATTGTATATATGTACCATATCTTCTTTATCCATTTGTCTGTTGATGGGCATTTAGGTTGCTTCCATGACCTGGCTATTGTAAACAGTGCTGCAATGAACATTGGGGTGCATGTGTCTTTTTGAATTATGGTTTTCTCTGGGTATATGCCCAGTAGTGGGATTGCTGGGTCATATGGTAATTATATTTTTTGTTTTTTAAGGAACCTCCATACTGTTCTCCACAGTGGCTGTATCAATTTACATTCCCACCGACAGTGCAAGAGGGTTCCCTTTTCTGCACACCCTCTCTAGCATTTGTTGTTTCTAGATTTTCTGATGATACCCATTCAAACCAGTGTGAGATGATAACCTCATTGAAGTTTTGATTTGCATTTCCCTAATAATTAGTGATGCTGAACAGCTTTTCATGTGCTTCTTTGGACAAATGTCTATTTAGGTCTTCTGCCCATTTTTTGACTGGGTTGTTTGTATTTTTAATATTGAGCTGCATGAGCTGTTTATATATTTTGGAGATTAATCCTCTGTCCGTCGATTCGTTCGCAAATATTTTCTCCCATTCTGAGGGTTCTCTTTTTGTCTTGTTTATAGTTTCCTTTGCAGTGCAAAAGCTTTTAAGTTTCATTAGGTCCCATTTGTTTATTTTTGTTTCTTTTCCATTACTCTAGGAGGTGGGTCAAAAAAGACCTTGCTGTGATTTACGTCATATTGTGTTCTTCCTATGTTCTCCTCTAAGAGTTTTATAGTGTACGGTCTTACATTTAGATCTTTAATCCATTTTATTTCTGTCTGTGGTGTTAGGCAGTGTTCTAATTTCATTCTTTTACATGGAGCTGTCCAGTTTTCCCAGCACCACTTATTAAAGAGACTGTCTTTTCTCCATTGTATACCCTTGCCTTCTTTGTCATAGATTAGTTGACCACAGGTGTGTGGCTTTATCTCTGGGGTTTCTATCCTGTTCCATTGATCTATATTTCTGTTTTTGTGCCAGTACCATATTGCCTTGATTACTGTAGCTTTGTAGTATAGTCTGAAGTCAGGGAGCCTGATTCCTCCAGCTCCTTTTTTTCCCCTCAAGATTGCTTTGGCTATTTGAGGTCTTTTGTGTCTCCACACAAATTTTAAGATTTTCTTGTTCTAATTCTGTAAAAAATGCCATTGGTAATTTGATAGGGATTGCACTGAATCTGTAGATTGCTTTGGGTAGTATAGTCATTTTCACAATATTGATTCTTCCAATCCAAGAGCATGGTATAATTCTCCATCTGTTTGTGTCAGCTCTGATTTCTTTCATCAGTTTTTTTTTTGTTTTTTGTTTTTTGTGTTTTTTTTTGCTGTATGCGGGCCTCTCACTGTTGTGGTCTCTCCCGTTGTGGAGCACAGGCTCCGGACGCGCAGGCTCAGCGGCCATGGCTCACGGGCCCAGCTGCTCCACGGCATGTGGGATCTTCCCAGACCGGGGCACGGACCCACGTCCCCTGCATTGGCAGGTGGACTCTCAACCACTGTACCACCAGGGAAGCCCTGATCAGCGTTTTATAGTTTTCTGAGTACAGGTCTTACACGTCCTTAGGTAGGTTTATTCCTAGGTATTTTATTCTTTTTGTTGCAATGGTGAATGGGACTGTTTCCTTAATTTCTCTTTCAGATTTTTCATCATTAGTGTATAAGAATGCAAGAGATTTCTGTGTATTAATTTCGTTTCCTGCAACCTTACCAAATTCATTGATTAGCTCTAGTAGTTTTCTGGTGGCATCTTTAGGATTCTCTATGTATAGTCTCATGTCATCTGCAAACAGTGACAGTTTTACTTCTTCTTTTCCAATTTGTATTCCTTTTATTTCTTTTTCTTCTCGGATTGCCATCACTAGGACTTCCAAAACTATGTTGAATAATAGTGGCAAGAGTGGACATCCTTGTCTTGTTCCTGATCTCAGAGGAAATGCTTTCAGTTTTTCACCATTGTGAATGATGTTTGCTGTGGGTTTGTCATATATGGCCTTTATTTATTTATTTATTTATTTTTGTGTGTGGTACGCGGGCCTCTCACTGTTGTGGACTCTCCCATTGCGGAGCACAGGCTCCGGACGCGCAGGCTCAGCAGCCATGACTCACGGGCCTAGCCGCTCCGTGGCATGTGGGATCTTCCTGGACCGGGGCACAAACCCGTGTCCCCTGCATTGGCAGGCAGACTCCCAACCACTGTGCCACCAGGGAAGCCCTATGGCCTTTATTATGTTGAGGTAAGTTCGCTCTATGCCCACTTTCTGGAGAGTTTTTATCATAAATGGGTGTTGAATTTTGTCAAAAGCTTTTTCTGCATCTATTGAGATAATCATATGTTCTTTATTCTTCAATTTGTTAACATGATGTATCACATTGGTTGATTTGTGTATACTGAAGAATCCTTGCATCCCTGGGATAAATCTCACTTGATCATGGTATATGATCCTTTTAATGTGTTGTTGGATTCTGTCTGCTAGTATTTTGTTGAGGATTTTTGCCTCTATATTCATCAGTGATACTGGTCTGTGATTTTCTTTTTTTGTAGTATCTTTTTCTGGTTTTGGTATCAGGGTGATGGTGGCCTCACAGAATGAGTTTGGGAGTGCTCCTTCCTCTGCAATTTTTTGGAAGACTTTGAGAAGG